AAAAAAAAAAAAAAAAAAACACAGTGGAGCGAAAAAAAAAAAAAAATCATTGTGGAAATTGTGGTGTTTAATTCTGGTGGACTATAAGAGTACTGTAGTCGTAGTTAGTAGTCCTCTCGGGTTGGCGAAGTGAACGGGGGTTCTTGGGTGTTGTGGTGTGTAATTGTGGTGGACTTTTACTACGACTTGTCTCTGTGTGGTTTGGGCGTCATGTGCGCCATTGTGTCTACTCGACAGTATCCATTGCACATACTAATGTGTTACGCAAACGTGAACTCTTCTGGAGATATCTTGCCGGTGGTGAGTGAGCGTCTTACTATTGTGTCTTTTACGTTGTTACTTCGTTACTCGACTTGGGAATTGGCTATGATAGTAGCGACTCCGTAAGGGAACGACTTGCACAGCGCGGTACTTTCCGATCGGATGCAACTTGCATTGTCGGAGATACATTTACTCGTACTCTCCAGTAAGTTTCGACTCTTGAGACACGATGTCAAATCCGGAATGCTATGAAACGGGAGGGGAACCACGAGGCGGCGATGATCGTACACGAGAAGAACGAGATTGGGGAGGAAGGGGAGACGACAGGGAGTGGGGCGAGTGGAGGAGGGGACCAGTATGCTTCAATTGCAACGAGGTTGGCCACTACGTTAACCAGTGTTCGAGACCGAGGAGGGCAGCGAGGCCCTCTACGTCTACCGATTCCAGACGTACAAGGTCTCCCAGAAGGGGAGATTGGAGGCGCGAGCAGGTCACGCAGCTGGATCTCGGGGTGAAACATCAGATAAGCGAATTGGGGAGGAGTGTTGCATCGATGCAGCAACACTTTGAGGAGGAACGTTTTCGTTAGGAGAATCGTCTGCGGCGCAAGCAGGAGAAGGAGGAAGCGAAACAGCGCGAGGAAGAAAGGCGCATTCGTGAAGAAGAGGAACAGGCCATACGGGAGGTTAAAGTTGCTAAGAAGCGTGAACGGAGGAGGCGGGAGGCAGAAGGCCGTGCGGAGCTGAAGAAGGACCTAGGTTTGCAATTAGCTACGCAGGTCCACGATATGGAGGATAAGTTCGTTCAACGCATGAAATGGGTGGTTGCCGAACTACAGAAATTGCCGAGCGGCAAGGGTAAGGAAGTCCAGCAGTTCTCGGATACGGAGGGTAGCAGTAGCGAGAGCGAAGCCAGCATTACACAAGAATTGAGTGAGAGGACGGCGGGGCTGGTGATATCCGAGAAAAGGAAGAGGGGACCTGATAAGGTAGTGGGGGATAGCCCCCCCTATGGAGTCTCCAGCTAAGCGCACACCAGGATTTCGGCGCAAGCAAGCTACCTTCACCGGGAAGCTGACGCGGGCTAGAACCAAGATGGCCAAGTCTCCGGGATCAACGAAACGCCGAACTCCTGTTCGGACACCTCTGTCCGCCACGAAGAAGCGCATGCCACTATTGACACCGGGTTTGGTGACACCGGACGCGAAAGGCTCTTTGGCTAGGTACAAGTACCGTAACCTGGTCATGGTAGGCTTGAAGCAGTTAGACGCTAATGAACTGCAACGTATCTGACGCGATGAGGAGATACCGTACGATGGCAAGATCGACGCTATATTTGATATTGCCGACCATCGCACTTATCTGGATTTTGGTGAAGAGCAGGCACCGAGGGGGCCATTGGAAACTATCAATATCGAGGATTCGGAAGCAACCAAGCCGACCGAAGACAAGGAGAATGAGGCCGCACGTTGATGTGGCTTACGAGTGCCTCTACTATGGGCGATTTATCGTTTCCTATCGAAATGGCGTTGGGAGACGACCACGATCGACACTAAGGTCGAAGCTCTCTTTAGCACGGTAGTTCTACTGTTAGCCATTGAGAATGCGATACGTTGGTTGGGTAAGTTTGTTAAGAATTGGATTGATCTATATAATAAGCACGGACTTGATTTTGTAAATCTGTCAGATTGCGTATATGTGGTTATTTTGCCTTATTGTAAACACGTGTATGTGGGAAAAACTACGCGATGCACGTCGGTCTGTTGGAAGGAACACATATATGTCTGTCGAAAGCGCACACAATCGCATTTTCATAAATGGCTCAGTGGGTTCAGACATGGGAACTACTGCCTGCTGCCAGTGGACTTAGTACGGAGCACAGATCTTACTAAGCTTAAGTTGACGTATATCAAACGTTGGAGTCCATTCTTGAACACGTCGGGGACGAAGAAGTCAAGGGGGAAGAAGAATCGGCGGAATAAGCTGGGGAGGAGGGAAAGGGCAAAGAGGAAGGGTCCTGGTAAGGAGAGAGGTAAGGATTAGAAGGCAGCCCCAATTAAGTTCCGATCTAAGGGTGGATCCGAGTGGGGCATTGATTTCTACCGCCTGTTTGAGACGGGTAGGAAGAGCGGGAAGTTACATATCCATTTTTATACAGGAGGGGGTGATGTGTGGTTTCCGAAATGGCGAGAGCTGGTAAAAACCTTCGGGGAATCTAAGCTTAGTGTTGGGTCGAATCTATTACGTCTGAAGAATTGCAGGAAGGAATTGGAGAAGGGAGGGGATTTTTTTATCACTTACATCTGTAAATGGCAGCCTCGTTGTGGCTTCTTGAAGGGACTCTTGGTTCGGATTTTCAAAAATCCTAGGAATTTGATTTTGCTGAGGGGTTGGAGTTTGAAATCTTACCTGCGTATATACAAGGTGATTAAGAATTTTTCTCGCAAATCGACCAGGAAGTACCTTAGACGACTGATTTCTTGTCAAGTCCGTGAATGCTTTGGACTGAGCCTTGCAGCTGACCTTACCTTTAGGATTAAGTATGACGACCGTATTCGTGTCTGCGAAGTCCGCAAGGTAGCTAATGACGCCCTTATGAAATGTGACTTACCGGTATGTTTCTTGCACCGAGCACGAAAGAAAATGCGTATCGTAGGGACAAAAAATCCCACGATCGCAGAGATTTTGCACAATCAGCGTTCGTATTCGAAGCGCAATGTGCTTACCTGTACGTGCACAGGTTTGCCTTTCCCAAGGAAGGAAGGCCATGTTTTTTTTCGTCTGTGCGATCTACCGGGAGTTTCGCCTCTCCTAGCTAATGCTAATAATATTCCGCAAGCTAAGAAGGCAAAGAGGTTAGAGGGTTTGTGCGTGGAATTATTCCAAGGGTTTCATGAGTGGAGAAATCTCAGAGGCGATCCACCTCGTTTTGATCTGGTCAGCATGTACAATTGTATGATTGATGACGATACCTAGGGCATGTCTAATGGAGTGTCACTAAAGGAGGTCGAGGATTTGAAGTTACGACTAAAGGGTCTGGTAATAACACCAGTAGACTGGAACGCAGGGGAAACAGTGGTACTGTGTCCTAGCTTGTACTATAATGCTATGCTTAGCATGTTTGTGTTTAACCCAGGTTACAGGAGTATGGAAATGTCGCAAGCATGCATCATTCGTGGCATAGCCGAAGAAGTGGTCGGATGCGATCTGAGTAAGTTTGTTCGGGTTGATTGGAAGGGCAATTTTGGGGACGCTTACGTAATACCGAAGCATAAGGACTTGGGGAAATTTCGTCCGATCTGCCCTTCTTTCGCAGATCCATTGGTGAAGACGGGAAAACTGGTATCGAAAGGACTGAATCATTTGTTGTTTACTATCCCTAGAAACCGGCATTTCAACCTACGATCTGTCTCTGATCTAGTGATGGAACTAGATAGGGGCAACCGTAGGATGGCTCGATTGGGTAGTGGTTATTCATTGACTGCCTTCTCCTTTGATATCAAGGAGATGTTCACGAAGTTGCCACACCACGAGATCCTTAACGCAGTCGATTAGATGATAGACTGACATGGATCGAGGAATCACTCTGGGGTTAGAGTGAATACCAAAGGAAAGGGGGCCAGTTTTGGGCTGACAACTGAAGCAGACCACTGGAAATTGCTAGATCTGGAGGATCTCCGATCGTTTGTTAGGATTGTCATGCATAATACGTACTTTTTTGCTACCGGGGTACTCCTGAAGCAGGAGGTGGGCATCCCGATGGGTAAAAGCACGAGCCCACCCCTTGCCTGTATCCTATGCGCCTATGCCGAGTACAAGATGATCACGGGCTTGGGGCGCCAGGCTAGGTGTCTGTTTGCTACCCGATTGATGGATGACGTTCTGCTCACCTTGGCATGGAAAGACGAGGCCAGTATGGTTTCTCTGCTGCATGTTTTCAACAACTGTTACCCAGACGAGTTTATGCTTGAACGCACTGACGCGGGTAATGGAATACTGGACTTCCTGGGCTGCAAGATCGTAGCGAAACAAGAGTATCCTATGTTGAGTTGTGTACAAGTGTCAAAGAACAACAGTTGCGTCTGTACCGAGCAACCGCTTGTATTCAAAAATGGTAAATCCTATTACTCCTGGGGCTGCAAAAGGCAGAAAAGTGCGGTGATCACAGGATACCTGCACAGGATCGATACGAATACCTCAATCAGATCGGAGATCCCCATGCGAGTGCTGACTCTGCAGAGGGAACTGGGAAAGAATGACTTCCCAGACGATTTCTTTGAAAGAGTGCTTCGTTGATTCACGATGGGAAGGGACAAGATTTGGGCTGCTACTCTGCGGTTCATCTGCGATTAGGATGGTTGTTGTATGATGTGGTGCACACAGTGGCTTTTGTATGGTCTGTGCTAGGATACCTGCTACTATGGTTGGATATTAGGTGTTTTTAGCTACAGGGGAAATCTGTAAATGTATGATGCCTGAAACTAAGTAAGGGAGGATCATGGCAGGGTAGGACATATAACCTAGATGTTTTTTTGGCAAATTGTCACCCAGTGTTCTAGATGAGTCGTTGTAGCTGTACACGGTTCGAACAGGGCCTTTGGGACTCTTGCTTTCTGTACATTGAATGTTGTCTGAGTAGGTGGTGTCATGTGGGGCAGGTAGGCTGGACCAGTTTTTTCGGGGTCTGGTGCTGGGTTCTTAACACCTTGTAGCCATGGGGTCGGACTGGTGGTCTGCAGCTGACAGCTGACCGTAGGGTACGACAGTCTTTTGAAGGGTGTTTTGTTGTGGCTTTGTTTTTCCAGTAGTTCAGGACACTAGGCCCCTCGACTATCTTTAGACGAGACACCTAGTGATACGATTTTTTGGAATTGCGTGAACTATAAGAGTACTGTAGTCGTAGTTAGTAGTCCTCTCGGGTTGGCGGAGTGAACGGGGGTTCTTGGGTGTTGTGGTGTGTAATTGTGGTAGACTTTTACTACGACTTGTCTCTGTGTGGTTTCGGCGCCATGTGCGCCATTGTGTCTACTCGACAGTATCCATTGCAACTGCAAATTAAAAAAAAAAATGAAAAAAAAAAAATCTTTTATTTTTTATTTTTAATATTTTAGGATAGCTCGGAATTTGACCAACATCTATAGGTTTATCCATCAGCCAAACACATCCTGGCCAGACTAAGAAGTTCAGCCTCCTGACAATTCGTTGGAACTCCGACGAAACAATATTTCATCATCAACTTTATTTTTTTCGTTCTTTTTTTTTTTTGACTGGTATTTTTTTAAACAAATAGCATGCTTCATTATATATAGAGCAAAAAGAGCCCGGGAATCCCTCCACATCTCAACCCAGAAGACTGGGGTCAGATTAGTCTCATACTCGAAACCGGGTCCAGTGTCCCTTTTTTTCCTTTTTTTTTTTTTTTTTTTTTTTTTTTTTTTTTTTTTTTTTTTTTTTAATCCCTTCTCTTTTTGTGTTCTTCTTCTTTCCAATTTTTGATCGCATGGGAACCCTGTTATAATCCTCTCTCTTCTTCCAATTGGCAGGAGTGGAGTTCTATTATCTGCGCTTGAACCTGGTCCGAAAGCAGTGCAGATTCATGCTGGCAGCAGATTAACTCTAAGATGGCGGCATTCCCCGGGGGATTGATCTTTTTTTTCAGTAATGTACAGCCTTGGGCACTGGGCCTGCTTTCCAGTCTGATACCCGAGATAGGATGCTGGACCTGTTTTCAGCAATGCGGGTTGAATTGTGAGGTCCCCGGGCCGTGGTCCCATTAGCGAAGAGCATCGGATTGAATGCCTGAATCTGGACGTGTTTGAGGACAGGAGCAGGAAATCGAGATAGAACTGCTTTTCTGTATCTCTGCATAAAACATAGCCAGATTCAGGATTTCTATCCTATCCCCTTCGCCAGTGGGACCACGGCCCCGACCTCTGTTCTTGTCTTTTTAATACCAAGCAAAATTAAAAAAAATAAAATAATAATAATAATAATAAAAATTCAATTTCTTTTAAAAATCAATAAATAAAAANTTTTTTTCTTTTTCTTTTTTTCTTTAATCGCGTCTCTTTCATTAATAACAACACGAACAAGCCGAGGCCGGGGACCTCACAACTCAACCCGGAGTTATCCCGGCAGCAATAGCCGGTTTAACTTATAAATATACCGTCTCCAATGCAGATCTGGGAAACCTCTTCACTCCTAGAGAAGCTAGTGGTTACCCACCTCCCACTTGATTGTTGCATGAGCAACTGATGGGGAACGACACCTACTGGAAACTGGGTCCAGTGTC